CGGGCCCAATAGGGGAAACAGCAAATTATTCTTTAAAATCCTTCTTCTGTAGGAATGAAAGGATTCGTTCCATATTTGGTCTGAAGCATCCTTGGGTGAAGGGGAACCAATTTTGTATAAACTGTTGGTTTGGCCCCCCAGGGGCCTAAAGGGGCAGGACTCAATAGGGGAAACATAGCAAATTATTCTTTAAAATCCTTCTTCCTCTGTAGGAATGATAGGATTTGGTCCATATTTGGTGTGGAGCATCCTTGGGTGAAGGGGAACCAATTTTGTATAATCGGTGGGTATGACCCCACTAGGGCATAGGGGTGGGGCTCTGTTTGAAGTTTGTTCTTGCTATATATCAAGTACTGGATGGATCTTTCTGAAATTTCATATTTACTTACAGCACCTACCATGGAGTGCTATATCTTAACTTCATACCAATTATTTTATATAGTTTATGAGAATTGTGCATCCAAAAAAACAATGATTCTGGGTAGAAAGATTTTTTCCAATGGTTTTCAGGTTAAATTGTGAAACAAAAACAAAGGCTTACAATTACTTTTATACATTTAAGAAAGCAATGTGCACATACACACACACAACATGTAATTGAACAAATAAAGGGTGGTATTTACATGATGTCTTTGCAGAGACCCTAAAATGCAGATGTGAAGAGGTTAGTTTTGATGTCCCTCTTGAATTTGGCCAGGGTATTTGACTTTCTAATAGCAGATGGTAAGCTATTCCACAACGTGGCTGAAACCCTCCCAAAGCACCGGTTTCCATAGGTCACAGTATGAGATTTTGGGACACACAACAATAATTCTGACTCCGACAGCAGTGATCGTAAAGGCTGATACAGGGTAACAAGCTCCTGTAGGTACCGAGGATCTGTTCCATTCAGTGCCTTGTATGTGTACACCAAAATGTTGTACTGTGACCTGTATCATACAGGTAACCAGTGCAATGAATATAGCACAGGTGTGATGTGTTCTCTCTTGCTGCAGTGTTCTGGACTCTCTGCAGATGACTAGTTAGTTTGTAAGATATGCCACAGAGCAGGCAGGCGTTACCATAATCCAACTGAGAGGTAACAAGTGAATGCACCAAAATCTTGCGTGCATCTTCAGTTATAAACTGCTGAATACAGCCGATGTTCCTGATCTGGTAGTAACAGGATTTGGCAATAGCGTTCACTTGTTTCTCCATGTTCAATGAACTATCAAAGTATACCCCTAGGTTTTTAACAGCTGGGACAGTCTTAATAGTTTTCTGAAACTGTATCCCAACTGTCCTGAGGTTTGATGACCATGTACATTTGTGTGTCATCAGCATAGCAATGATAGCGAAGACTATGGCGACGACAAATCTCTCCAATTTGAAGCGAGATTCATTTGTTGACAGCATTGAATAAGAAGTAAATGATACGGACCCATGGGGCTTCTTACCAAAAGCTGATTCGGTGTCATGACTGGATAAGTAATATTTGTTTTCTTTATTTTCAGCTGTTTTGCCACTGCAATGTTTTCTCTGTTTAATATGCCCCTGTCCGATATTGTGGATACAGACATGAACAAACATCACAGAAGGTAAGGCAACAAAGCAACGGAGAGTAAAATTTGTAAGATTAGGAAAGGAGACTTACAGGGATAGGAAACTTTGCAGTAGAATAGAGACAGGAAAAACAACATTCTAACAATCTGGGTTGAATATGCAACAAAGCATATGCTATCTGTAAACCATGTTAACTACTGTTTTGTTGTAATAATATATCATTAGTTACACAAATGACTGTTTTTGCTATCTACTGTAGCAACAAAATTTCTCAATATTACAAGCAACATATAAGGATATAGGAAAGCACTACAAAGTATATTCTACATGTAAAGTTTCTGTATCCAGCTACTAAAATCTTTTGATTTCTGTCATTCCAGCCATCCAATATCCTCCCTGGTGTATGGGAACAACGCTCTGGTCACCAAACCAGCCATCTCCCTGTCTCCCATGATGACAGTGGCTGTTCTCAATCACTACGGCTACCAACAACTTAGCAAGAAGACTTTGACTATAAGCCAGATAAACTCTCTCCACGATATCATGTTCTTCTTACTGTGCATCCAGCCTGTTGCTATTGGGGCCTTACAGCTGGTCACCTGGTCGTTCTACTCTTTACGGGACAGAAAGTCCAGCCTAGTCAATAAAGTTTTTCCCTCGCCAGTAGATAGCAAAAGTTTAAAATGATGATTTTAACTTTTTTTGTATGGTTTTTATTTGCCTGTCAAAATCAGGACATGTGGTATGCATTGTTTAATCAGATTTACTTGGTCATTGATAAGGTTTATCACCATTGTATTAAGTTTTGTATATGTATCACAATTTTTCATGATTATTTACAGAGTTATTGCACTTTGTGAACCTTTGACTTGCTGTTCTAGTATTTTCAAATTTTGTGGTATAAAAACGTTAGGCAAATGATCATAATTTTCTCTGGAAAACAAGCAACTGAAATTTTTGTCAGACTGTGTCAACAAAACAATTCAAGGATTGACAAGATACATACCAGTGTAGTTCTCCTGCTTAAAATTAACTACTCAGTGCTTCCAGTTGACTTCATTATTCTGTTGAAGTTTAAGACTGTACCGTAACAATAACTTATCAATCATTGTGTTTGCTTTTTAATGTAGCCAATTTACTTTCTGATTTTTTTGGTTGCTTTACGATAAAGCAGGGGAGAATGTTTTCAGTCAATCGTTAATTCTTCTATCTGTCTGTCACACATTGCTTCTTGAACAGTAACTAAAACATATCTTAAGTAGGTCACAGGCATTTTGTAATTTAACCTTTGCCAAGTCCAGGTTTGAAAATGACGGAATCTTGGTACTTTATGGAAGTCAGAAGTTTTCTTCAGTTTTGTTCTTGTTTTCTTCTCAATACATTCCTGATTAATTACAATTTAAGTAGATTTTACTGTGAGTTCATGTTACTTATTGGTGTTGGCCTAATGTCATGTTACTGAGTGTTAAAAACGTATAATGTTAAAGTGTTTCGACCAAAGGATCATGTAGTATTGCTAGATAACCAACTTGGGATTATGACATGTTTCAGTACTGTGCATTCTCCCTTTACATATGCAAGATATGGTATTCCATGTGAAACACCCCACTTTAAATTAAACACTTACTGACGGCGTTTTTATGAGATTTTGTACAAACAGCATGATCTTTTTCTGTAAGAGAATATCTATATATATATAGTATTAACTAAAATGATTCCTATAACTAATCAACGAAGCAGTTATTGCATGTGTTGTCTGCTTTCAGGCAGCAAATAGGTACATGTATTAATTTTTCTGCATCTCGTAACTTTGCTGCTGTGGTATCTGGAGAAGGATTGCTCAGATTTTTATGATAAATGGTAAAGAAAAATATTACCCATGCGTCTAGCTCAAGGTTGATGTTTGGAAAAATCAACGCATATTTAATGAGGATTCCGTACCTTACTGCCACCCGATTGGCTTATTGTCTGGATGAAACCTTCAAAGGGATAATCCGATTTTTATGTAACTTTGTGTAGTTAATGTATCCCACAACCTAGAGCACATTCTATCAACAACCGCAGGCAGCAATAGTTGACCAGCATTGTCCAGTATCTGTTACAGTCACAAGTATATAGCAAACTGTGACTCTCTGTTTACCAACACCTTTCAAATCTATCCATTTTCAAAATGTCTTGAAAGGGTACATTATACATGTTCAGCAGAATTGCCAAGTCAGTGGTTATAAAGCACAATTTTTTAATAGAAAGGAAGATTTATCTGTCTGGAGTAACAATACCATTCATTGTCTAGGTGGTACATGCAGGTGTGTAGATGTCATTTTCCGGGCAATGAATGAGGATGATTCATCAGGTTGACTTTTTCCCTGTCAACACATCAAAACAATTAACATTCAATGACTGACATTTAAATACAATTTGTTTTGACAATTAATTTAATGGTCTTTAATTATTTCATTCAATAATGGAAAAATGAGAAGGCTGAATTTGGTTTTGAAATAAATGAAGATAGAAGATTATATGTATGATATATGACCAGCCCCAGATTGGCAGTGAAGTTTGAACCCTGGTAGGGCCATGGATTCTACTACAGTACTGGCAGCAGGAGGAGATAATCTATGTCAGACCTTTAAACAGGGTCTTTAAATAATTGTATAGATATTGTTTATTTCTGGGCAGTCCCTGGAAGAAATACTCAATGACCATATTAAATTATATTTTCTACGTTTATATATGAAATAATATGAAGAGCTGTGATATATTCCTTTGGAAGTCAACATTGTTCTTTATAAATATATAGCTATCTATATACCATAGCATTCGTTCAAAATAAAATACAACATATAAAACAGAAATGCAACTGATATGACATTTTTTAATCAATATATTCTTTAAACCCAGAGCTAATGTTATGATGTTTTACAAGTAGCTTCCTGGAGTGAAAAGCAATCAAATTTGTCAAAATAAATAACCTTGACCCACATTCAACGTCACATATGAGATGTGTCAAAAACATGAATTGTCTTCTTTTCAAAAACCACAAGGTCTGGAATGATTATTTTTGACATGAAGCTTGCTGAGGAAGCAGTACATGCATTAATGAGGCTGTATTTGTTTCATATTTAAAATTAAAACTCCCAAGCCATAGCTACTTATTTAAGGACATGTCTATGTTTTGAGTCATCCTCAGGAACATCACCATTCCAAGATATACAAATTTGGATTAAAAAAATAAGTTTTCTATAGAATATTTAAAAAATGTATTTGTAAAAGAAAATTAAAATTTCAACTTCAAAATATCTAACAAGACTTTCATTGACTTACTTTGAGGACAGTATTTCAAAAACTGGTCTTTTTTATTTATATAAATGAAAACTGGTCATAAAGTTTTCTGTTTCAGAATGCCTGGCAATGAAACCATGCCAACTTTAGATCACTCAGTACTTTCTGGGAATTAAAATTTCATGGGAAATCCCAATGATCATCTCCCATCCTCATACAACATCATAGCAAGTATTTATACAAAAGATGCCTCTATTTTGAGAGTTGGAATGATACAAAACATTATTTAATTGATAACCCTCTCTGTGGAAGGAAATATCTCAAAACTGAATATTTAAACAAATCACTGGCCATGATATAAACCTGTTTAGTGCTAACTGGGTGAAGGATTATTAGATATGTTCTAATAGATTACCTTGACCTATACCAAGATTATCATTTCTGAATTACATTTATGACGACCCCATTAACTATGAGTTATATAGGCCCCTTGGGCCTTTTATTTTGGTAATAAATTCTGTAGATATTTAGTTTTACCATCAATCTTTACCAGTTTTACCGGGGATTGTTTTGTACAGATGATACTCGGAAAGAATACATCTGTTTTTTTAACTGTGACATTATTTCCAGAACAACTGTGCCACATATTTGTTTACATAGCAGTCAGATGTTTACTTATCATTTTTGTTTTGAATATGTTTGTGTGTTTTTGGAGTTGCTACTTAAATGGGAAAAATTAAATATCTTGTATTTTAATACCTGTGTTATATGCAGTACAAAGTTTTTATAATTATATCTGGCATATACGATTTTATCTACATTGTTTATATATATATAATTTCTTTGTGTTTATTATATAGACATGTTAATCAGTGTTATAATTTTGGAATTAAATGCATTTTAAAGGCTGTATGAGATAAATAGATTGTATTAACAGCGAATGAATTTTGGTTGTTGACTTTTATTACATGTCTTAATGAAAATGCTTTACACTCATATTCATATAAATATTTGTTTGTCTAATTTGTTTTCAAAATAATGTATGAATATTCAAGATGTTGGTTAGAAAAGTTTTGTCTTGAAATGCAGTTACATTTTGCCTGAATCATTTGTTATCTTTTTTCTGTATGTATTGGGACCACTACCTGTAGTATTGACAGTGTCCTCATTGTTCTGGCAGGTTTTTGTATTTTATAATCTCAAAAACAGCTATACGTAACTAATTATTTCAAAAACATGTAGAAAAGCTTCTGTGACCACAGACAAACTAATAAATGTTTTCAAAAGTGTCCAAAAGCGGGTTAAATTGTTTTCATTGATGGAAAGGTCCAAGGCAGCGTTATCAAAATTGCATTACTCCTCAGGTAAATTTTGGTATTGTTTAGATACGTGGCCTTGAATTGTAAAAGGATCCTTTGCTTGTGGCTTTTTGCAGTAAAAAGCTATTAACTTTGTTAAACAAAAACAACCTTTACACCATTGGAAGGTCACGGGCAAAATGTGTTGACTTCTGCAGAACTTTTAAGTTAAGAATACTATTTACGATATTTGTCCTGTAGTGTGCCGACTGAAGGACTGTTAACCCTTTCACCCCTATGCATCTTTAGTAAACTCTACCATGCATTGATCTAGATGAGTCCATTATGGTCTACAGTAGTGAAAGGATTAAGTGTTCTCAATTTACAACCTTGTATAAATTTTAAACTCAAACATGTTTTAAAATGATAAAAACAAAACATAAACAATGTGTAATTAAAGGCCCATTTTGTTTATTGATATACTTGTGTACCTGGATAATGTTGAGATCAGTCACTTCCAATGAGCAAAATGTAATACAGCAGAAGGTAAACAGTTATATAGCTGGGTGTGGTTTTATTATTTTAAATTTTAACTTATTTTTTGGGGGGATAAATGTTTACATGTTGTTGGGAGCTCAGGATTAGACAAGGTTTATAAAGCTTGTTGTGGTGATGGGGATAATGATGTACTCGCTGAGTGGTACATGTGTCAGCTGTCAGGGTTATATAAAAGAGAGGGCGAGAAAGAAAAATAAAGTGTCCAGTTTTTAGTTAGTTTTTTGTGAGTTTACTTGTTACGATAAACAGCTTTTATTTACATAGTAAATGTTTTATAGAAATATTGACTGACAACATTAGGTGAAGATTTTGTGATGAGTAAATAAAATATATCTGACCTCTTAGACTTGTAAGTTAGAAGAAGAGCAACCTTTTTTCACTGATCAAAGATCTAAACAACACAACTATGTACAAGTTACAGTTATTTCACTCCGAGGACTAGGTAGGTTAAATCTGTGCAAAGTGATTATTTATTTGGATAAAAAAAAATGAAAGAATGAAAGATTTTGTTAATTTGATTTGATGCCATAGACAAGGAAAAATGTTTATGAGCAGTTTAAACTTTGCAAACTAGATATTTTAGGTCAATTCAGTTACTATTTTTATTTTACAAATCTTTTTATATCAAATTCTGATATCCAGCATTTGTCGAATATTTATTATACTTTTAGCCTGAAAGGCCAAGTGAGCTAATGCTTGTTTTTCCATACGCTGTCAACTTTTCACTTTAAACAACTTCTTCTGAATAACCAAAAGGCTTAGGGTGTTGATATTTGGGCAGTAGCATGCTCAAATGAATATCTACCAAGTTTGTTCAAATGAATGACCTTCACCTTTCTGAATAACCAAAAGGCCTAAGGTAATGGTATTCAGCCAGCAGCATGCTTGGGTAAAGAGGTATCAAGTTTGTTCAAATGAGTAACCTTCATCCATATTTAAGGTCAGAAGGGTTGAATGTGTTGAAAATCTTTTTTAAAATGCCTAGGGTGGTGCCAGTAGCATGCTCGGATGAAGGACTGTCAAATTTGTGAAAACGAACTACCTTTACCCATATTCAAGGTTAAAGTGTTAAGTGTTGTCAAAAGTTCATTAAACAAAACCCTGTAAATAACCAACAGTCACAGATATATTAGCCAGTACGTAGCATGCAGGGATGAAGGGCTGCAAAGTTTGTTTGAATTAATGACCTTGAACCGCTTTCTAGGTCACAGGAGTCAAATGTGTTCAAATCTTCAAACAAGTTTTTTTCCAAATACAAAGTTTATAGAGTGATGATACTTGATCAGCAACATGCTTGGATGAAGGGCTACCAAGTTCATTCAAAGTCACAAGGTTCAAATTTGTTAGTACAATGTATCTTTTAGTTGTTTCTTTTGTTGAGCTTGCAGCCCTATTTAGTCCTTTTTAACTTAAGATAGTTTACTTTGGCCAATTTTTAGGTTAAAAGTGTGAGATTAATACCAGGTGAATGATGCAGGCCCTTGAGCCTATTGTTCTTGTAATCAGTAATACTTTCCATATTTGCAATTTTGAAAATCAGAAAAAGTATGACCATATCCTCAGAAACAACCTGATAATATGCAGTAATTCATGCTATGACTTGCAATGTAATAGTGTGACAAATTGGCCTGTGATTTATTTTAAAATATATTTAACATATTCCTTTATAAAATAAAGGATCCGTGTAAGTAATATTTTTGCCTTTTCTGATTGATCAACAAGCAGGTTTTATTTAATAAAAAATATCTATATCATACATTGTTTTGTTGTGTTGTAAAATCAGTCCCTTACAAACACAGTCCTGTAACATCACACTACCACAATTGGTACAATTTTGACAGTATTTCAGTGATATTTAAAACTTCCGATCTTTTATCTGGAATATTTCTTGATTCTTGACAAAGACTACCTATGGTGGTTCATTTTCAGAAAAAGTTTTAATTCTAAGTAATTTGTTTTTGAAAATAGAACACTTAACTCGCAGTGAGATTTCGTTGAATTTTCGACTGCGACTAGTACCTTAATTGGTACACCATATAACAGGCTATGGAACTTAATTTTATTTCTACTAGTTGATGTGCCGATTGCAACAAAATATATTGCTTTTATAAATACCATACTGAACTACAATTGTATATATACACTTTTATATTATTCTGTTATAAGGACCAGAAATCAACATTTAAACATGCTTTTATTTAACCCCTTCAAAATCCTCCAAAATTTTGTCACTGTACGTTGGTTTTACTGGTTTTCTGATATGTTTATTTTGAAGTCATCGTGTACATTTAAAATGTTAATGAAAATAAAACTATTTGGTGGAAATGCTGATAAATATCTTTTTATACGCCCGTCAAATTTTTACATTTTCAACCAATATATTTGAAACTTGGTATACATTATAATCATGATATGAAGTTGTGTCTCCCTTAAAAGAATTTTGATTCAACAATTTTTGCAAAAGTTATTGCCCTTTGTTCATTTCAGTATTTGAAAAATTTTTGGTCCGGAGATCTCCTACATTTTTTGACGGATTTCTTTGAAACTTTAGGCTGAATAATCATGATATGTTGTTGTGTTTCCTTGAAAACAATTTTGATTCAAAAATATTTTTGCAAAAGTTATTGCCCATTGTTTATTTCAGTATTTGATTTTTGTCCGGCAATCTCCTCCTACATTTTTCAACGGATCTCTTTGAAACTTGGTATACATTATAATCATGATATGAAGTTGTGTCTCCCTTAAAAGAATTTTGATTCGACACTTTTTGCAAAAGTTATTGCCCTTTTTTCATTTCAGTATTTGATTTTTTGTCCGGAGATTTTCTCCTACATTTTTTATAGTATGTCAGCTAACCACTCTTAGAATGATGCAGATCTTATTTCAATTTAAGAAAGTATATAACACTATACGGCATTCGACGGGCGTATATTGTTCCGCCCCGCGGTACTCTTGTTTGTTTTAATGTCAAAGAAAAATGCTCAAATTTAATTTTAAAGTACTATTCAAAACATTTTCTGATGGTGTACCAATTTGGGTAGTACTGTACCAATTGTGGAAGCGTGACGTTATAGCTCAGTACCACTACCCAACTAAATGTCGAGTCACCTGGTAACCAAGAGTTCTGAACAGTTTAAATTGAAGTATCAAGCCATTTGTCAGTATAAGTAAGTAACATATTACCTATGTTACTTGCGAAGTACAAGCTACCGTAGGATAAAATAACTACCTCCTTTTTTTGAAAGTCTGCTCCTCAGAAATATTAAAGAGGAGAGAGTCATTTGGGACTAAATTAAATGTACCATAGGAACTGGAGTGACGAAAAAAAAAATGTGACAAATAAATTGAACCAGTCACTAGTTTCAATTTATCTGTTCCGGTAACTTTACCACTGACTGGCCCAGTAGATTATGGTCAAACTGTAGACCAGAGACCAACGTATAAAGCCATGATTAATAATTGTCAAGGGGGGGGGGGGG